ATGAAACTAAGATGAAAAAAGGCATGAAAAAAAGCATTGAAATGTTATCAGGGTTGTACTCTGGACAGAGGTAGTGCACAATTTGGGGGTTCTCTTGGACTTGCAACTCCTGGTTAAAGAGCAGGTGATAGCATGTCTGTGATGGGATGGGTGACTTTGTACAGATTAATCTTGTGTGCCAACTGTGCATATTCCTGGATGACTGATAATTTAGACTGGGAGACCTGGCTCATGGTCATCCATGACATAGTTATAGTACTTCCTGGCTGGATTACAGCAACCTGTTTTATATGAGACTTTCCATGTAGATCATCTAGAAATTACAATTGATCCAGCATTGCCCAGAAACGTGGGGCACCCCGAGTATGGCATGGAGCTGAGAAGAACTTGGTCCTTGAGGAACTTTTACTTTTGCAAAGGGGCTTTTTCACCTACCCCAAAATATAAATCGCTAAGAATTTAGCACAACTAATCTCTGGGTGGAATGATATTCCAAAGAGCAGGGGTCACAACACAAAAACTCCCTTTCTGGGCCTTGCCAGACACCATTCCTGAATAGATGGGACCTGGAACTTCTCCTTCCTGCTGGACCTAATGGAAATGGAGTGAGGCAGTCCCTCAAACAGCAGATCAACGAGAAGATGATTTGAGATAGAGTGCAAAATGTTCTTCTTCCTTTCACCGCTAGATGGTACACTTTTACTAGACTCTTTGCTTCAGATTCTTCGCCCAGAAGAGAAGTCTTGCCTGTCTATTGACAGAGGCTATTCTGCATAGAATAACATACCCTTGCCACACTAAATAAAGGCATTTGTATTCTAAAGAGTTGAATCTTTTTCTCTCAAAATCTTTTCCTTTGTCTGGAAGATAGGATTGGGATGAGGAGTGTGAGATTACATATTAAATTTAAAACAATGAGAAGATATAGAGTCATACTCATTTCTGCTAACCATGCTTTATTCAGCTTTTATCTCTGCAAGGCATAATCCGCAAATTTCAAGAGCAAATGTAGTTGTCATTTGTTTATTTTACTCTATTGCAGTACATTCAAGTGCAGTGAAAATGATGTTCTTTTCTTTAGATGCCTTTAGTGCCTCTGAGGAGACATATTGTCTCTGTGCGATATAGCATGATCAGACACCTTTAAAATAATGGCTTATTAAATATTACCCAGTGGGCTGGGTTCCCCCAACATATTAAGATGTAAGTCATAATCTACAAATTGCCCAGGCTGAATTTACATGCTAAACCATAAACAAGTATTTCATATTATGGTTATCATGTGGTATGAACTCAATCATTATAAAGCAAAGAGAAAAGCAGTTGATGCTTCACCTTTCACTATATTGGGTCTGTTATTTCCTAAGTTATGGTTTGTTTTGTTTATCAAACTAAAGGTGACTGATATATCACTCTAAGTCAACATTGAACAAATATATTTAGCTTTGATGCAGTTTTCCCTGCATGTGCTACATTCAGTTATAAGTGTATATTGACCTAATTCCCACATCATCCCAAATTAGAATGCAATTTGACTCAACTGTAGCATGTTTGTCAACAGAAGCACAGCTGCCCATAAAAGATGACATTGCTTAGTATGCCAACTCAGCCAATTATGACTTAAAAACAAACCACAGTTAAATAATCTAGCACTTGTGTGAATTCAGTCACATATCTGCCAGAATACATGTGTGTATTGCATATGTTTTCCCAGTTTCCTAATGAAGTATTGTTTCTTCTGTTGCACAGTGTCACAATGCTGGTTTTTTTGTTTTTTGTTTTGCCTGAAGCTGTGTCTTTCCTTTTCCCTTCCTTTGTGCTGATACTAGAGTACAAAGCAGCTAAAGCTTCTCTCCCAGTCCTCTGGCAGCAAAAGAGCTTTAGAAAGCACAAACTATTAAATCTGTGCATACTGTTGTTGACTTGGAGGTATACCTCACTGGCCTAGTTCGGTAAAATTAAATCATGTTGTGAGGTGTTGGATTGGAAAATTTAACATATTCTACGAATATTCTACAAATATAGCCATTCTTTGTTGATGGCCTTTTCCCTATACTTAATCAATTATGGTGTTACTTAATGACTAAATAAATACGGATTAATCTTGTGACTGAAGTAAGAGCAGGACTAGTAGAATGAATGAATGAATGAATGAATGAATGAATGAATGAATGAATGAATGAATGAATCCAGGTCATGGAAAATGCTTGCATGTGATGGAATTAGTGATAAGGTAGGATAAAACTGTTTTGCCTTCTATAAGTAGGATGGAAAGTCTTTTTCTATGAAGAGGTCTTGACCAGTGGAAAAATTTATTAGGGCTGCTGCAAGTGAATGGAGTCAGAGCCAGACATGTATGGAATTTGCAGCATTGTCCGGCTCTTTCACCACATGCCTCCCCCCAACCATAGCCTTCTTTTCATGTACATACATGAACTCGAGGAAAGTGTAGTTTTTAAGCAGAAAGCAGTCAGTGTGAATATTCCTTGTCCTGAGTCGTAAAGTCATCTTAATAGGTAACATAGATGTTAATTCTTTATTGGCCATGTAATTATTTGCATTAACAGAGGGATACAATCAAGATCAGGTGAGGTACTAATACCACTCTATAAAGCCTTAGTAAGACCACACCTAGAATACTGCATCCAGTTTTTGTCACCACACTATAAAAAAGATGCTGAGACTCTAGAAAAAGTGCAGAGAAGAGCAACCTAGATGATTAGGGACTGGAGGCTAAAACATACGAGGAATGGTTGCAACTACTTGGCATGGCTAGTCTAGTGAGAGAAAGGCCAGGGGTGACATGATAACAGTGTTCCAATATTTGAAGGGCTGCCACAGAGAGGAAGGGGGTCAAGTTATTTTCCAAGGCACCTGAAGGCCAGACAAGAAATAATGGATGGAAATTGATTAAGGAGAGATTCAACCTAGAAGTAAGGATAAATTTTCTGACAGTGAGAACAACCAACAAATGGAACATCTTGCCTTCAGACATTGTGGGAGCTTCATCACTGGAAGCTTTCAAGAAGAGACCAGACTGCCATCTGTCAGAAATGGTGTAGGGTCTCCTGCTTGGGCGAGGGTTGGACTAGATGACCTACAAGGTGCCTTCCAACTCTGTTAATCTGTTAATTTATTCATTTCATTTTGTAGCCGTTTAATTTTGTTCTGCCTTGGTTTGATTCTGTCTTGGGTTTTGTGTCAGTTGTGGAAGCTACACTTTTAGAAATCAGAAACTGGAACTATGTCAAAGAAAGATAAATATAAATCCTATACAGAGAAATTAAAGGAACTGGTTAGGTTCAATTTTTACTTTTTAGACACTAGAAAAGGTGTTGTTACAAGGTCCCCAAACAGGTAATAGCATATGTTTATGAGCATACAGAATGATGGACTTAAAAGATACAGAAATGAGATTCTGGCTAAAATTAGGTGGGGAAAATCCAAACCATCTGGAGGAGTAGTTTGACAGCAGAATCAATTCCTAAGGAAGACTGTAATCTCCCCTTCACTAGATATTTTAAAGCACAGGGGATATTTGATATTGGGAATACAGTGCTTGAATCTGAGTCCCTGAGCTGTGGAGGGAAAGATGTTCTAGGTCGCCTAAACAGCTCCTTTAAAGTTTAGAATTTGATTATGGGCATTTCTTTGTTACTGAAGCTGGTTGACATCAGCAACCCCAAGGTTGCCATAGAGCTAAAGAATCAGCTGGGAAAGCCACGCCCCCGGAACATTTTCTGAACATGAGCTCATTCTGTGTGGCCGAAAACAATAGAGCAGTGTGTCTCGATCTTACGAGCTCGAAGATGTGTGGACTTCAACTTTCAGAATTCCTCAGCCAGCATGCTGGCTGAGGAATTCTGGGAGCTGAAGTCCACACATCTTCCAAGTTGCCAAGGTCGAGAAATACTGTTAATAAAGGCGACGCTTCCAGGTTCCTCTCTAGCTAGCAATCCAATCGTAACCCCTTCCCTCTCCCGAAAAGGAACGAAGCGTATGAAAACAATAGGGGGAAAAAAATTCTAAATCTCTTTGCTGCCACCTAGCCGCGCTCTGAGGTTTTGCAGCTCAGCTCTGATTGTCCTGATTTTAGTTTAGGGGAAAAAAAATCTCTAACAGAAATAAACTAAAAGAAAAAAAGACGGTGATAATCTCACTCAGGGTTGTACTTTAATAATAACAATAACAATAACAACAATAACAACAACAACAATAATAAGTGTTTAATAATAATAAGGGAAATGTTCGACTAGTGATTTGTGATACGAAATCCAGCACGGTTATCTCTTTTGCTGTGTATACTGTCATTTTTGTGTATATAATAATAATAATAATAACAATAATAATTTATTCTTGATGAACGTATCTTTTCTTTTATGTACACTGAGAGTGTATGCACCAAGACAAATTCCTTGTGTGTCCAATAAAAAATTCTATTCTATTCTATTCTATTCTATTCTATTCTATTCTATTCTATTCTATTCTATAAAAATAAAAAACTAAGAAAAAGCCCTCTGTTTGGTGTGTGACCCCTCGAAAGAAAGCCACAGCGGTGTCTTCCGCCAGAGAAGTAAAACACTAGACTAGCTCTTGAATGAGATTCCTGGGGAAGCTATAAAGAATCTATTCTGTCTTGCAATATATACATATATATATATATATTGCAATATAATATATATATATATTAAAACAGGTACGCGTTACTTTTCCCCCTTTATGGCCAGGCAGCTGGTAGACCACAAAGGGAGAAATCGCCGCCCCGGGAAAAAAATGCCCTCAACTCAGCCCGCTTTGCTTTAAACATCCTTGCTCCGCTCCGTTCCCTTTTATTCACAGGCCGAGCCTCCCCGAGCCTGTCTTGTTTTTCTCCGGGTGTCCAAGGAACCGCGTTCGGTGTACGCGTTCCAGCCCCGCCCCTTTTGTGGCGTAATCAGCCAATCTGGCTTCTCCCTCTGGCACAAAACCGGCACCTGCTGTCTCTCCGCGCTCCGCCTTCGTTCTAGTCGGCGCCGGGCCCCCGCCGGGTGAGGAGGCAGGTAACGCGGGGCTGGAGCAGGTAAGGCCTGGATGGGGGCTGGGGGAGTTTGTGGCTTTTTTTTTTCCCGCCGTGTTTCTTTATCGGCCGTTAAACCCCAGTCAGCTTTTGGTATTGTGGGTCCCGGTCGCCTCTTAAGCTCGAGAGCCCCGAGCGCCTTTCTAGAGGGAAACGGCTTGTTGGGGGGGATGACAAGGGAGACGGAGGATGGGAGATGGGGAGGCTTGTTGTCACGAAGAAGGGATTTGGGCATCGGTGAGTGCGAGGCACTTAAGCGAAGCGACGTTTTAAAAAGACTTTCTTAGCAAAACCCTCGTAGGTCGATGTGCTTTGTTGTTTCCCCATCTGATCCTCAAAGCAGTCTTGGTGGTTGTGTGGATGAATAGCTTATATGCCTTAACGCCGATAGATTTGGAGCTGCTGCTGCTGCTGCTGCCTTAGCATTTCGATCCTGACTTTTGGGTTCAGGCCCTGCTACTCTGAATTCTTGTATATTCAGCATTTTATGCGATATGATCATGTGTGCCCTTGATGATAACCCACAGTGAAGCAGTGCCCTATTTCTTGTGCACCCCTTGAACATTAGTATTTTGAGAGGAAACCAATTTTGGTTCGATTGTATGCATGCTTTCCTTATAATTTCACCTTTCTCTACTGGAATTTGTCCATGTTGGCTGGTGAGTGTGAACAATATTTTAAACATAAGGTGTTCTGGTGTGGATTGTGCTGTGTATTCAAATGGGTTTCTGATAAGGCACATGCACATAGCTTCTAAAAAAAGGAGTTTAATTGGATGGAGAATCGATGGGCAGCTTGCAGAGAGAAGCGATAGCAAATTCTGAGTATTTAATTCATACTATTTCTGAAGCCAGCTGAATTCTACAGTAAACAATAACACTAGAAAAAGAAAATTGCTGCTTTTTTGGACATATAATCTGGGTGAACTTTGAGTGGAGATGCTTTGGTCCTTTTATAGCTGCTGTATTTTTAGCTTTTCAGTTCTATACCCTCAAGAATTAAAATGCAGTCATTAACAGAATGCTTTTTGTGTTTCTTTTAAAAATCAATGGCTGCTTTTCTACGTCGCAAATCCTAAAAGAACTACTTAAACCTAGCCTACATTAAATGATCAAGTATTGACCATTAAAACTTCTTCAATGGATAGTCATAATATGAGGAAATTAACACTTTCCAGTTAATCCAATATGTGTTTGTTTCCATTGTTTGTCTCCTAGTTTAAAACATAATGACAATGTGACAGGTAACAGTTGGAAGGGACCTTGGAGGTCATCTAGTCCAACCCCCTGCTCACACAGGAGACCTATACTAGGGATTTGAACTGCCGAACTGCCAACCTTTTTGATCGACAAGCTCAGCATCTTAGCCACTGAGCCACCTAGCCAGGCTGTGTGAAGCCAGCCAAGAGAGTATAGAACCTGCTGGATTTCACCCCTGGTAAAAACAACATCTTGCCTAGCAAGATTGTGGGAAGCTGAAGGAGGGAAAGACGATGAATAAAGTGGTTAGGCAGGATCAGGAAACCAGTGCAGTGTCACTTCCAGATGTGAACTGAAATCTCATCTGTTCTAGCCATCTTGACCAATGGTGAACAATTATAAGAACTGCAATCCAATAACATCTGGAGGGCTACCTCTAGATGTTGGATAGAGCTTTTTCTTTAGAGGTCTTTTAAGTCACACCATGCTATTTGGAGAATTCTGAGGCCCACATATTTTAGCTACTGAGATTGAGAAATACTGTTCTAATAGGTTCTGGAGAACCGGTAGTGGAAATTTTGAGTAGTTTGGAGAACTGGTAGCAGAAACTTTGAGTAGTTCGGAGAAATGGCAAATGCCACCTCTGGCTGGCCCCAGAGTTGGGAGGGAATGGGGATTTTGCAGTATCCTTCCCCTGCCATGCCACCAAGCCACGCCCACCAAGCCACACCATGCCCACCAAGCCACGCCCACAGAACCGGTAGTAAAAAAAAAATTGGATTTCACCACTGGTTTTTACCCACTATCCAGTAGAGAAAATGGAAACTTGCATTATATTGTTCTCTGACTTTTTAAACTAGTATGAATTATTATTAAGAAAGCATTCATCCATGTGACTAGTAGTGCACATTGGTATGATCACACTGGTTTTATTTTAGTACAGATTTCTGCATATCTACCCACCATGCTCTACTTTAATTCACAGTCGTTAACACCTCCAATGTAAACTATAAAGTGGGTGCTACTTTATAAAAGAATGTGTTGCTTCCTAGGTAACAAACAGCAGGATTGAAATCTAAGCTGGAAGGAAACTTTCACATTTTTTGGAGGCAACATCCATTTTTAAGATTTTTTGACTGTGAATTTTCAACTTCATACACAACTATTTTATGAATAATTGGATGAAACTTTTAATTCAAATGAACCATTAGCTCATTGGACAGTCTAAATATTTTATATAGACTCTTCCATAAGTTTATTTCTTATAATGAAGGTATACTAATATTTTTCCCTTATATCTGCTGCTGGGTGGGGTAAATGAATAATTCTCCAAGGCAAAGAAGTATTCTCCAACATTGTCTTAGAGCATCACGGCATCACGTTGCTGTCACATGATATATTGTGACTTTTTTCCCTTTGCGGAGCTGGAGTGGGCGTGGCCTGCGCATGACACATCCACCCTGCGGGCCGCCAGTTTAACACCCCTGTTTTAGAGCTTGTTATTAACAGTGATAGCAGATACCTTTCTTTTTTTTTTCCCCACTGAAAACACTTTTGTCATTGCAAGTTGCCAAACTGTTATTTAACATCGTTGATTATCCTTGAATTCATTTATACTTTACAGTGTTCTATGTGTCTATAGGGGAAGGATAGCATCATTAAACACCTAGTAATTTGGCTGAAAAATTTAAAAGGATAGCCACTTAAATATGTTGAGAATATAAGTGTTTCACTATCCCAGAACCAAATACATCACTGAGTCTACACATTGCACTAACCCTTTAATTGAGGGTTGTTGAATGAAATAAACTGATCTGATTTATATATAATGCTGTACTAAGAATGCAGTGGCTGAGCCATGTTAAATCAGAACCAGACAAATCAGATATGGTTTAATGCAGTGAAAAGCTATCTTTGCTTGTTTAATTAATAACATTTTTTTCATGTACAGCGAAGGAAAAGAGCCTGCTGTCCTTCGGATATGAAAGAATTATGGTTTGTTGCAGATCCAGCCACTGAAGAATGTTGGAAATACTTAATAGAATGTGATTAATGTGTGCGACAGCTAGAGTACTGTTTCATATTAGATTATTGTTGGAATAATTGGCAGGTCTGTGAATTGACTGGATTAGCTCTTTTTTCCAGCTCAGAAAAGGTACTTACCCTTAAGTAGTTGAGATTTTTCAGTGCATTTTTTTGGAGAGTGTTTGGAAACCCTTCTCTTTTCTTCTTTTTCTTCAATTTTATTTCTGTAAATCAGATGCCTAGATTTGAATAGCTATTGTGCTCAGAGTAATGAGTACGTTCAATCATGTAAAAATACAAATAAGAAACATAGACTAAGAAGTATGTTACTAATCTCTTTAATTTTCTAGATCATATCTTTAATTATATATTAGCCCAGTTATCTTCTAAATACAAGCTTCAGATCTGAGTACAACTGACTTGTTCCTAAAGAATCTGAACATTAACATAAGTTTTTCCCATTGTACTAAATCATAATTTGTCTAACCATAGATTATTGAATAAAGCACAGTAACTGGATTAACGTAAACATTAAGCTATCAGCAAAACAAAACCAAGCAAAATATGTGAACGATTGCTTTCCAGATCTAATTAAGATAAAGATATGTGCGGACACACCCTCATACATACTTTGTCTGGTGATATTAATTCTTTAAGCACTTCTTCTATTCCAGATGCCTCCTTATAGAATTTATAAGGAGATTATGATTCTTGATTAACGTATCTTCTATGTATATTGAGATCATATGCACCAAGACAAATTCCTTGTGTGTCCAATCACACTTGGCCAATAAAATTCTATTCTATTCTATTCTATTCTATTCTATTCTATTCTATTCTATTCTATTCTATTCTATTCTATTCTATTCTATTCTATTCTGAAATATAGTTCTCTCTTTAGTAGAAAATTATCCTAGGTGGCAAGGACTGCAGTGTTGTTTACAGAAATCAGGTCCCATTCAGCAGACTTAATTCTATGTAAATATGAAAAAAATGCAGTCTTTCTATGGTGGAACTACTTTAATCACCAAAAATAAGAAATCTGGTGCTGCTCCCTTCCACAGATCTCTTTGCCCCTTCAATATTTGTTGTGGGTTTCTTTCCTTAGTGCAGTGTTTGTCAACCTTATCAACTTCTGAAAATTGAAGTCCACACATCCTAAAGTTGCCAAAGTTGAGAAACACCGCTCTAGTCTGTTTCAATGATACACAGGTTTTGGGAAGCGGGTGTGGCATTTCTTTTCTACTTCCAGAAAGAAAGATAGTAGTTATATCAGTAAAAGGATTTATTGGATTTTATAATAGGAATACTCTGCACAGAATGTTTCAAACCGAGACTTAGAAATGAAGTCTTCCCAGGATGAACAGTATACAGTAATCTTTAACTGATTTAGTGTGAAATAAAAGTACTGAGGTATAAATTGCAGTGAAAGTAATGTGATTTCTTACAATACATATAATATATATACATATTTACATAATATATAATGTATAATGTATAATTCAATGCCTTTCTATCATTTCCTGTGTGTCTGTATGTGTTTGTGTGTGTGTGTGTGTGTGTGTACCTTTGAGTTACTGTTAACTTTTGGTGACTTCCTGGATTAGTTTGTCTTGACAAGGTTTTTTGACACTGCCTGCTTCTTTATAGGCTGAATGTGATTCACCCAAGGTCACCCAGCTGGCTTTGGACTGAAGGCAGACTAGAACTCAAGAGTTTTCTGGTTTCTAGCATGGTGCCATAACCACTACACCAGTGGTGGGTTTCAAAATTTTTTACTACCAGTTCTGTGGGCATGGCTTGGTGGGCGTGGCAGGGGAAAGATACTGTAAAATCTCCATTCCCTCCCCAATCCAGGGAAAGGTTACTGCAAAATCCCCATTTCCTCTCAGTTAGCTGGGACTTGGGAGGGAGAGAATAGATGGGGGTGGGGCCAGTCAGAATTTTTACTACCGGTTCTTCAAACTATTCAAAATTTCCGCTACCGATTCTCCAGAACTGGTCAGAACCTGCTGATACCCACCTCCGCACTACACCAACTGCCTATTATGATTACAGTTTAATCTGATTTACAATTTAAAAACTGATTTTACTGAATACTATGTTCTGTTTGAGGCAGGTTCTGTATAACATATCTTTGGGACATTTTTCAAATGGATAAATTATTGCTATGTACAAAGAATGTCAAAATGTTTCAAATTGCCTTGTATAAACACCTGGGATATTTTTAAAAGTGATTTAGGCAAGAGGTCAAGCATGCATTTGAAACAAACTTGGTTCTTTGCAATATGCATTGTAACTCCTTTTTATGTGTGATATTTCTCATCATCAAACTGTAAATTATTTTGCAGTAATGTGCAAAGGATTATTTGAATTATTCAGCAAGTAAAGGTTTCCTTTCTTGTCTTTTTAAAAAATCTATATGATGAATACATTAATTGCAAAAGATATCTCAAAAATTTAGTGTTACCTACAGATATAATCTATCAGATTATTATAAAAGCATTTTATTGTTAATTTTAGCATATTTTTCCTCTGCAAGGAAAAACACTTTGGGTATTTAAACTGATGTTTAAAAACAGGAGTAAGCATGTTTTATAGCACATTTATTTGCTCCAAGCCTTCTGAAAACGTCTATACAAAAACTATCTTGGATATATGGCTGTCTTGGATACACGGCTGTCTTTGAAAGAGCATATGACGGCTGTGGCCAGGGGGGCTTTTTATCAGGTTCGCCTGATCCACCAGTTGCGTCCCTTTCTGGAACGGGATGCCTTACGCACGGTCACTCATGCCCTCGTCACATCCCACTTGGACTACTGTAATGCTCTCTACATGGGACTCCCCTTGAGGAACACCCAGAGGCTCCAACTGGTCCAGAATGTGGCCGCGTGAATGGTGATGGGGGCGACTCGGCGCTCCCATGTAACACCTCTCCTGCGCGAGCTGCACTGACTCCCAGTGGTCTTCCGGGTGCGCTTCAAGATATTGGTTACCACCTTTAGAGTGCTCCATGGCTTAGGGCCTGGGTATTTACGAGACCGCCTTCTGCCGCCAGTAGCTTCCCACCGACCAGTACGCTCCCACAGAGAGGGGCTCCTCAGGGTTCCATCGGCCAAACAATGTCGGCTGGTGGCCCCCAGGGGGAGAGCCTTCTCTGGGGGGGGCACCGACCCTCTGGAACGAGTTGTCCCCAGAGATACGGCGGATCCCGGATCTGCACATTTTCCGCCGTGCCTGAAAGAAGTTTTTGTTTCATCAAGCAGGGCTGACCTGACCATATTTTTTAAGTTGCTTTAATTTTAAATTGCTAAATTATGGGTTTTTAATATGGGGGTGTTTTAACTGTGGGCCAAATTAATTTAATTGGTTTTTTAATATTGTTTTAATTTTTGTATTTTCTGTATTTTATCTGCTGGCTGTTCACCGCCCCGAGTCCTTTGGGAGAAGGGCGGTATACAAAATAAATAAATAAATAAATAAATAAATAAATAAATAAATTAATAATAATAATAAATAATAAATAATAATAATAATAATAATAATAATAATAATAATAATAATAATAATGATAATGATATATGTAGTCCTAGATTTATGGCCATTTGTATAATAACTGTTTGAGGTTAGAACAGTGCTGGAAAAGGTGACTTGCAATTGGTCCTCACATTTATGACTGTTGCAGCATCCCCACAGTTATGTGATCAGAATTTGAGCACTTGGCAACTGTCATGTATTTATGATTTTATGATGGTTGAAGCATCCCTCAGTCATATTATTGCCATTTACAACCTTCCCAGAGGACTTCAAACATGCAAACAGCATGATTCACTTAACAATCATGGCAAAAAAATGGCAAAATTGAATATGACTCATTTCATGCCTTTATCACTTAATGGAAATTCTGCTCCGAGTTGTGATGGTAAGTCAAGGACTACTTGCAAAGCAAGTTGCATAGACCTGGGCTTCTGTAGGTTAAGGCTTAAAAAAAAAGCTTTTAAGCACGTTGGAATTCATTTGACAAAGCATGAACATTTCTCTTGCCTGACAGCTTATCTTTTGTGAACTTTACTCACCTTATTATCAGGGGTCTTCATTTATAACCCTTCTTTTGCAGACTGAAATCTGGATTTGCTGCAAAACTGAAAACAGGCATTGTTGATGGCTTAGGAGATACCAAAGGCATGCTGGTTTGCTTAGCAACATTACTGCAAACTATTCAAGATACAATGAAGTGTTTCACTGTACCTTCCTAATGTTAATGGCTTTATTGTATCCCAATAACATTTTTGTTGATGTTAATAAGTGACTCCTCCCTGCTACAACAGCTAAAATGCAAGGGCAGAATTTACTGCAAATGAATAGTAGTGTGGAAGGCGAAAACCAGTCATGTTTAAAAGCGCTCTCTACAGAGAAGTATGCCATCTCACCAAGTGAATACAGCTGTAGAACCGGAAGCCATTACTTAAACCAAAATGGAAATCTGGATGCATCCCTAGAAATGGAACTGGTTCAGGAAAAAACTCACAGCAAGAGGGATGATGGAACAATTGATGAAGGATCACTGGAGACGCCTCAGGATGTCAACATAGTGGAATCCAGCAATACTTGGGGTGATTTTGAAGGTTTCAGTGAAGTCAAGCTGGTGAACTTAAGTAACATTCCAGAACCTTTGGAGAAGATAAATGGAAAGGTGTCACATACAAACAGTATGGATATCAGTGACACTCCTTCCACTACCTCATTCAGACAAGTCCTTTCCAAAGCAATTGGATATGAAAAAGAAACAGTTGCTAAAACTACAATGAAGGTAAATATTGATAAGACCAATCAATTTTTCTGATCGGCTCCCTTTCTTTTTCCTCATATTTAACACTGTATAATACTGCTCTTAATTTTCTATAATACATTATTTGTCATAGCACTAAGGCAGCATATTAGTTCATGATGCTGTTAAGCGTTATCTGTTTTTTTTTTTTTTACTTTTCTGCATAGCTCGCATAGCACAACCAAGCTAAGTATGATAAATTATTGTTCTTCCTTAATCTGGAAAATATACATAAACTCATATGTATGCAGGTAGTCCTTGAATTAGGGCTGTAATATAGGATGCTCATTATGGTTGCTAGTCATGAGGATCGTTAAATGAGTCATCCATGTGAACACGTTTACCCCTTTACTTAATGACCTTTACCCCTGCTCTCCCAAAGGCTGTTGCAGAGCATAGGACCTGAGGCAGGGTGGGTTTCAAAACTTGACGCTACCAGTTCGCTCATGGGTGTGCGCTTGTGGGTGCAGGAGAGTGGGCAGAGCCTCCTGCCTCCTCTGTTACCGGTTTGCCCAATCCCGGGCGAACCGATAGCAACCCACCACTGGGCCTCAGGGTTGGGAAGGCCTAGGATTAGGCCGTCTCACCTGCCCTGGGTCTCTCAAGACCTCCCTCACCCTCTGGAGATACCCTGTACTCCACTTCCCACCCCTTGGGATCCCTGCAGGCCTTGGGCTTGCTTCTCACCCAGGGAAGCCCCAGGCTGGCTGCAGAGGCTGCTGGTACCGCTTGCAGGCCTTGGGCTTACTTCCCACGCAGCCCCTCAGGATTTGCAGGAGTCAGCCTGTTCCTCAATCAGCTCCAAGGTTTGATAGCACCCAGCTTAGCTTTCTGTTTTTGCAGCTTTTGAGAGAGGCGCCCAGCTGATCTGATGTGAAGCTCAGCTTTCCTACAGAGGCAACCTCGTGCTAGTCTGCAAGCATGTGCTCTTCTCGCAGTAACTTGGAACCCTCTGTTTTTAAGAAAAAAAGGAGTCTCCTTAAAATGGAACCCCTTAAAAATGGATCCCCCTAAAGGATTCCAAGAATAGCACCTACTTGTGAGGCTACCATTAGGCCACCCCTTGCTGAAGGATCCCTGTGTGGAATTTGTTAACTTCTCAGCTACATTCTGAGTCAAAGACATGACACTTTTCTCCATAATTCTAAGACCTTTTTTCAGAGAATTATGCTTTTCTTGGTGTATATGCAAAATTAGGGTTTTTAGCCCCATTGTACATTACACAAACTTATACTGAATTTTGCATCTGGAAGTATGCTTGTCTTTTTCTAAAATCCAAGATGCCCTTGAGTATAATAAGGGGAAATGAGAAGTCTTTTCTTAGTAAAACTGTACAAACATAGTGGAATAAAACATAGAAATATAAAAATTACATAGTTTGGTGGCAAATGAAGGAAAAGTAGAGAAGGTGAAAAGGAAAAATGATGCCAAAATACTAGCAGTGAAACCAATTAATTGTACATTACTTATTCCTTAGTAAAATACCAAAAATGTAAGTATGTCAAGTTGAGCCTGATTTATAAACACTGTTGGTTGTGGTTCTATGGTAAAAATAATTGGTTACATATTAGAATTTTTGCTGAAAAATACAGCACCTGGTATAGAGGGTTATTTTGTAAAGCAGGGGCCATTAGATGAGAATGTGACTAAATTATTTCTATAGCATCCTACATTTTGCTGAAGAATGAGAAACTTAAGTTAATGCTGGATTGTTGGCCCCATGGTACATTAGATTTTTGGGATTTTTTCCCCCTCTCCTGAATAGTTAATTGGGAATCCACATGACTTTTAAATCTTTGAAATGAGTCTAAAGTTCACTGTTGCAGATTTGCAAAAGAAAGTATCCTATGGAGAAGTAGGAATAACCTCTAGGTTTTAAACTTAATTAGACTTTGTTTTGCCTCTGTATAAATCAACATGCTGCTGCATTCTTGCACTATATACTTCTTTAGGTTGTCATCAGATATGAAGAGACTGTTAAACAGAGTTTTCCTGAAATCCCAGTACCACAATGCTTGGATAAAATAAGTACATTGAAGCAAGTGCTTCACCCAGAAAGACAAGATGCAGACATTCCCGAATGTACAGAGAAACAAGCTTGGTAAGATTTGTTTTGTCATTGATAATGCATGCATTTATAGAAGAAGATCAGTCTTCTGAAGATGCCAGTAAATGTAGTATTAGGACAAGAATTTAAAATTAGGACATTTTAAGCTCATTTAAAAACTGGAAGATGGTGTTTTGTTTATTTACTGTTATTTCAGACATTTCTTTCTCAAAGCTGCTTCCATAATGAAGTAAGGGTCTGCTCTCTGTCTTAAAAACTAAATAGAAAAGCCAGAATAAAGTAGAGAGTTATCTGAATATGTTACTGGTTTCCTACAGAGCCAATTTTTCTTCACTTGTATTCTTGCTGGAAAACAACAGGATTGTATCCTGCCTTTATTATTTTTTACAAATAACTCAAGGCAGCACACAATAGCCAAACAACCTTCCTCCTCCTATTTTCCCCATGACAACAACCCTGTGAGGTAGATTAGGCTGAGGGAATGACTGCCTCAAAGTCACCCAGCTCCTTAGCTGGTATATAAGCTTGAAGTGTGTTGTCCTCCAACTTTCTAGTTTCCAGGTGACCCTCAATAGGAATAGAGCATTGTATCTTACAATAAGGGATGAGGAATGCTCTCTACAAATACCGTACTCCTTTTCTGGCCAATGGACGAATGGTCAATATTGTCTTGATCAAATGGCAATATTTTTATTAGATTGACTCTGAGCTGAAGAAGCTTCTTGGATGAGAAGCGAAACGTCTTCAAAAAAAGCCCAGAAAGTCCAGTTGTCTCTTGAAAAAGCACCTTTGGAAGACTCATCAGTACAGTTGTAGTGCAGTACTCAACTGCTTTGAAACTCATTGAATTTGGTACTTGACACATTTTGATGTGAAAATTTTGTCCAGGTACTCATTGTTTGTTTGGTACTCGACGCACAAGCTAGAACTTGTCAGTGTCAGCTGCCTTGCGACACATTATTCTTTATGGGAAAAATGTGTTTAGTACTCATTGTTTTTGGTACTCATCGCGCCCCATGGAACCAATGAACAATGAGTATTGAGGTACTGTAGTTGGGGTTATACTTTTTCAAAAATAATGTTTCAGTTATACAAATTATAAAACAATGTCTTTATTTGTCTTTTTTATCCAGTATACATTCTAAAATTATTCCTAGTTTTTAAAAACTATTTAGTTTTTCCTTTATATCTGTTTCCTATAATTTGTTCATTTTACTTATAATGCAGAGAATCTTAAATAAATTATCTAAGTTATCTTTTAAACAGGAAAAATCAGTTGCGGCTGGTCCTTTTGTTACTTATTGGATTCATACGCTGTTGAGATAGATTTGCCTAGCAATCAAGGAGATTGAGAGAGGGTACCTGAAGTCATAGCTGCATCAGTGAGGGTTCAGTTTGAATATGTGCAAGCCTCTCCTTTATTATGTCCTTTTAAAATATAAATTATTACTATTAGCAAACGATATTAGCATTATAACTGTCCTCATGTTTTTTATTTATTGTTTTGTTTGATTAAATATGCTGAGGAGCTCCAAAAGTTTCATGCTATTTTTGGGATTATTAGTTGGCTTAATAAATATATTGCCTTTATACAGATGTCAAACTTTTTAAACTAGCAACTAGCATACATGGTTACTTTTTGTTTTTGTGAGATTAAACAGTATTTCTCTTGATTGCATGTTAGCTTTGCATCTGTTGCAGGTGTCAGTGGTAGCCAGTTTACACTGATGATTGATTCCCAGCTAGTAGATTCCTCTGATCAGGACATTTCTCTGATTCTTCATAAGGGAAACTTTGCTGGAAAACTCCTAATTTACTTAGTATCATCTGAATTGTGTCACCTGTTTGTAGAAGAGAATATAATTATTTCCAAAATAGTAGTTAAACTGTGCCCTGATTACACCAAGTAGATATACTTCTTGGGCCGCGGTGGCACAGTGGTTAGAATGCAGTATTGCAGGCTACTTCTGCTGACTGCCGCCTGCCTACAATTTGGCAGTTCGAATCTCACCAGGCTCAAGGTTGACTCAGCCTTCCATCCTTCCAAGGTCGGTAAAATGAGGAGCCAGATTGTTGGGGGCAATATGCTGACTCTTTAAAGCACTTTGAGAGGGCTATAAAGCACTGTGAAGTGGCATATAAATCTAAGTGCTATTGTTATTGTTATTGGGCATTGATATTTTCTGAAAATAATTTAAAATCAGATATTAAAATTCTAGTTGTAGCTATAGACATCTTCAAAGTATTTGCACTTTCCTGCCAAATATAGAACTTCTACTCTCCATTCCTTCAAAGGCTTTAGATTAGAATTTTGCAGTTGTAAACTTGTAATGTTCCATTTCAGTTCACTTTCTTGAAAGTAGAAACAGTACTTTTTTATTTTTCTAAGTTGCACAGTGATGGATAAGGCAAGTATTTGAAATAAACTATTTAACATGTAATCATTCATAAATCATTTGATGAGTCAAGCGTTTTTAACTGATAAAATAGACTGGAAATAGCCATCTAAATCAATAGTTATTTTTAAGCGTATCAAGAAAGTTGTTTACTATGCTGGCATTATGTATCTTTATTTAGGTAAAATAGTATCATTCTATGGGTACAGTAATGATCCTTACTAATTACCCAATTGGTTTAAAAGAAGAAAAGGCTTCAAGAAACAGATTCGCCAGATTAATTAGCTAAAAACTATAAAGGATATCCAAACAGTTGCTGGAAGTATAAAGCCCTAATAGGAACCTTTTACCACTTTTGGTGAATGTGCAAAAGAGCTAAGAAATATTGAATTGACATTATTAATGTAATTTAAAAAATTTTGAAAATTAATCTACAATTCAGACCTAAAACTTTTTTTATTAGGCTTTATGTATAAAAATGGGAGGGGGGCGGAGAGGGAAAGAGAGGAAATCACATGGTGTTTTGTTGTATATGATAAAAACATCTGACTTTTACATCCCCAGCATTGGGAAGATCCTATGATATGCACAATATAGGAATGGCTAATAGAGATTACAGAATTGGCAACAATAGCTAGTTTAATGGCCCTCGTGAGAGAAAAATCACTGAAGTTCATCTGTAGTTGGAAGCCTTTTGTGAAGTGTTTGCAGAAATTGGAGAAAAATCAAATTTTGACATGGATTTGATGATTGTTAAAATTTACAAAGAGAATTCCCACCCACCCCTTTTTTTTGGAGAGGCGTATGGACATTATATTATAATTTTAAACTAAGAATAAAAAAAGAAAGAAACAGGATGTTGATTATCTTTGCCAGGAATGAATATATTGATTTAATTGGGATTGTATGTCATCAAGAATAATTTCTAAGATACTGTAAACTAAAATAAATTCATATGTAGGCAAAGAAACAGACACACAAGCATCGTCTTAATATTTACTTACTTGTTTCAAAAGCAACAAACCCCAAATAATAGATCCATATATTTGTATTGGTTTTATGTTACTTTGTCTTAGTTTTCCCAAGATTGCTAAGAATTTCAGAATCTTATATTCCTTTATAAAATTGGATTTGTTGAAAGGGGCTTTATGTCTGATTATTTTTTAAGTAGAATGAAATATTAAGTTTGGTGTCAAAAATGGATGGTCTTTTGATTTAGTTAATCATGATCTGTGTCTTTTGTTTAGTAAGAACTCATATACCCAATATATAACTAAGCATGGGCAATATGTTTGCTATCTTTATAGAGCTGATCTGAAATGCAAACAAGAAATATGGTGGATGTTTACCTTGTATTAATCTGAATTGTGTTTCCTTTAAAGCCTTGACTCAGCAAATTTATGGAAAACTCTTACTCAGTGCAATAGCCCTTCTGATTTAAGATGCCATCGAAATGAATTTCATTGTCAAGAAAATCTTTTAGCTGTGCTTGGAATCAATGCTAATCAAAAGGTAGTGTTCAGTAATACTTTCTAGAACAGTCATAGTATTTGTGTTTAATCTTAATAGATACTATGCTGTAAGGCTACTGTTCAACATTTCACTTGTTAGAAAATATCATGTATGTATGTTTCCATAGATTTACAGAACTAAAACATGAAAGTTTTATCAGGCTTCTTTGCTTTTTTACAAAATGAATACTGGAATTTGTTGATAGTTCAGCAAGAGCTCAAAAATTGATGGTTGGGGGTAGGAACTTTGTGTTCCTCTCAAAAAAGTAGAAGTCTAGACAGCTGGTGTTATTTATTGAACTGTGTGGTGGCAGAGCTAACGCATCAGGTGAAAGATCAGAGGTCTCAGGCCTTTGCTTGTAGACATTCTGAGTCTACATACAGTCATACACTGCTCCTTCTCCTAAAATTATGTATAAAAATTACTGCATAATTTGGATTCAAATGAAATGAAAATGATCTGATCTGATACCCCAAATAACATAGAGGGTTAGTAAATTTATAAAAAAAACTTCTAAAAGCTAAGGATTTTTATTCTTTTTTTAAACCTATTTCCCCCTTGTTCATGTTTACATAGCAGTCTTTCTATCCTCATTTAATCTTCAGTGAAGAGATACATGGAATGTAGAGAAAAGTAAGGTTTTACACTTAGGCAAGAAAAACCAAATGTACAGGTACAGATTAGGTGAAACCTAGCTCAATAGCAGTAACTGAGAGCAATCTTGGAGTCCTAGTGGACAGTCATTTAAATATGAGCCAGCAGTGTGCGGTAGCAGCCAAAAAAGCCAATGCAGTCCTAGGTGACATTAACAGAGGGATAGAATCAAGATCATGTGAAGTAGTGCTTTATAAAGCCTTAGTAAGATCACACTTAAAATATAATACATCCAGTTTTGGTTGCCATATTATAAAAAAACCCCCACATGCAGAGACTCTGGAAAGAGTGCAGAAAAGAACAACAAAGATGATTGGGGGGGGGGGTGCTGGAGGTTAAAACAGATGAAGAATGGTTTCAGGAATTGGGTATCTCTAATCTAGTGAAAAAAGGACTAGTGGTGACATGATAGCAATGTTCCAATATTTGAGGGGCTGCCACAAAGAAGAGGGGGTTATCCTATTTTCCAAAGCACCAGAAGGCAAGACAAGAACTAATGGAAACTAATCAAGGAGAGAAGCAACCTAGAACTAAGGAGAAATTTCCTAACAGTGAGAACTATCAGCCAGTGGAACAGTTTGCCTTCAGAAGTTGTGGGTGCTCTATCGCTGGAGGTTTTTAAGAAGAGTTTGGACAACCATTTGTCTGAAATGGTATAGCAGAGTGTTGGACTAGAAGACCTCCAAGGTCCCTTCCAATTCTGTTATTTTGTTATTCAAAAGATGTTTGTCTATGTAACACCACTATTTTCAGAAATCGGGTGAGATTTCAATTACTTTTAAAGTGTTGGTAGTTATCTCTGTATCTATATGTCCTGTCTTGGTCCAGAGGCTCACAAACACTAGTAAGATTTGCAAACTTTACTAGCAAGTTTTCAAATAAGCAGCAAAGGAAATGAGCATGCAAGCACATACAGAAAAAGAAACCACGTCCCCCAAAGTCCAGCAGGCTTGTCTCGAACAAGGGACAGCAGAGACAAAAGTGGTCCGATGAAGTCCAAGGGTCCAAATGTCATAGAGTTGTCAGCCAGTCTGGGACAGAGTCACAGTCACAAGATTTCAAGATGTAAGCAAAGCACACAGAGACACTAGGTTAATAAACCGTCAACTGAGGGCTTGAGCTTGCTGCTCTTCTTAAAGAGAAGCAACCCTGATGTTGCTCATTTGAAAGAGCGAGATTCCTTTCTTGCAGGAAGCCTCACAGTTCGCCTTTGCTCTGCTCTCCGCACAGTGAGATCTTGCTCTGGGGAGGGTGTAGCAGTTCAGATTTCTCATCTTCCAAGACCAGCAGCTGAGACTCCTGGTTACTAGGCAGCACAGTCCTCTCCCTGCAATTGCCCAAGAGGCAGTTCATCTGGTAATTCTGGCTGCTTGCTGTCTGTTTCCTCATCAGAGTCTGAGCTAGTCATGACACTATAAAGCTTTACAGGGCTTAGGAGCTGGGTGCCTTTGGGAGCACCTGTGCCCAATGTTATCTCCTATTCAATACAATCAGAGGGCTCAGTGTGTACTCCTAGAGAGTAGTCTTATCAGAACCCCAAAAACACTCTCCAGTTCTTTTGGAATTTAGGAAGGACATTAAAATCTGGTTGTTCTAAGAAGCTACTAGGGAATGATGTGGATATCATCTACTTGCAGTGTGTTTAAAACAGTGTGGTTAGCAGGTTAAGTTAACAGGAATATTTACTCATCATGAATGCTACTGTACCATGGCAAACATTTGCTGGTGTAGTTTCTCATGGTACAGTAGTGATCATTGAATATTGCTGTTGTTTAACCTGCTAGAGATGTATATATGTTACAAATTTTATTTATTATTAGATTTTTATCTCACTTTTGTTTTTGGTCAACTCAAGGCAGTGTACAGTATAATATTCACACCTCTCCTTTTGCCCCTTAACAACAATTTTGTGACATGGTTGGGCTGAGAAACTGACCCAAAGTCATTTAATTGGCTTTCATGTCTGAAGGAAGAGAAGACGCCATCTTCTGGTTTCTAGTCCAGTTCTAGCAGTTGTGTTTTGTGCATGTAAAATTATATATGAATTCAGCCCTTATGCTGTAATGTAATATAGGAATGCACTTGGAGAAAAACTGAAATTTTTGCTATTTTCCTAAAAATATAAAGCAGAGCAAAATAAAACCTTTCTAAGAAGATCACTTGGGAAATAATTTTATTTATAAAAATGATTGGATGTCAGGCTCCAAGATCCAGAGCAGATTTTACTTTAAATTGCCACTGATGCAATTGTGTCTCTGGTTTCCCCTTTTTGTAATCTAATGAAATTTTCTGTACTTCCCAATGTTGCAATTGTGCAGATACTTCCTGCCTGGGCTTTACAACATTATGAAATTCACAATGGCAGTGCTTCAGCTTGAAGGTTCTAGTTTATAGGGTCCAATATAGGATCAATCTAATATCAAGATGTTTCACACAATGCATTATACAATAAAGTCACGGTTTTAAATAAAGTTCTTTACATGATGGTTCTTGTTTATTAGGCTGTTCCAGAATTTAAGGGCAGCATTTTGGAAAAAACTAACAGAGAAAATGAAGATTCCAGTGTTGACAAATTCAACCTTAGCACTTGTAAAGCACTAATTCAAACTAAGGTAAGAATAGGAATGAAATGAGCTTGTTTGTTCATATGTTGCTTCTGTTTTTAAAAATGCATTGGCATATAAGTATGGATTAACACTGGGCCAGCGGTTCTCAACCTGGGGGTCACGACCCCTTTGGGGGTCGAACAGCCATTTCACAGGGGTCGCCAAAGCCCTCTCTCGCCCCCCCACACCTTCACTCACCCTCACTCTCTGCTCTGTTGGATCGCTGGCCGTTCGCTTACCCCGCCCACTCCCAATCTATTGCTGCCTCCTGAGTCCCAGCTGATGGCTAGAGGAAAAAAAACTGTTTAAATTCTTGCCGCGGGGCTTCAAAGGGCCGCCCTATAGCCAGTGGTGGGATTCTGCCGGTTCTAGGGGGTTCAACTGAACCATTTGTTAAATTGCTGGCTTGCCCCGCCCCTCCGCACCACTATTTATTGCCAATAAATAGTGGTGGGCGAGGGGCGGGCGAGCCAGCAATTTAACAAATGGTTCGGTGTTTTTTTGTAATTTTATTGGCCCGCGGAGCTGCAGCATAGGCTAATTAGCCCTTGATTAGATCGGCTCCCGACTCTCAGCTGATTTGGTCTCAGCTGTTTTGCGGAGGGTTCTGCTGCTTCCTTGCAAAGAGTCCTGGAGCAGATTTTTTTTCCCCTAGCTATGCTGAAAAACGAAACCGAAACTAAAGCAGGCTGTTGGCTTTGCTGTTGCTGCAACATTGAAAAATTAGCTAGGCAGATTTCTTTTCTTTTTCCTCACCAAAAAAGGTAGGTGCAAACAATGGGAAATTTAGGGGAAAAGAGGAGAGTTCAAGATTTTAAAACACAAAAGAAAAAAAGCTCTATTTAACTAGGGAATTGTAATAATTGAGATACTATTAATTGTATATTGTGTTGAAAGCAGAAATGGTTAAGTTGTGGTTTGGAGGAATATATGGGGGAAATTATTTGGTTTATTATTATTGGTAAATATAATTAATTGATTTGTAAGAAATTGGATTGCATGGAAATAATTGGAATATTCATGTTCATATTGATTAATATATAAAAAGGTAGTTATATAACTAATTGATTTATATTAAAATGTTGAATTTATATTAAACAACTGTAATATTACATAATTAACCAATGTGAGGATGGATATAAAAATAGATGACAATGGGAAGGGGTATAATATAGAACAGAAAGGAAAAATTGAATTTGATTAAGATTAGAGATGAGGATGAAGGGTAATATTGGTTTTTTACAAAAATAGATGAGGAATAAATATGGCAAAAAGGAAATATAGAAATTGTAAATTTAATTGAAATGACTAAATACTGTTTAAATTTGTGAACCGGCCAAATACTCTGTTCAAAGAAAATACATTGTATGTTTGTATGTGTGTTTCTAATTATTGTTATTTATTCATATTTGTTCTCTTTTATTCTTTAAAGTTTAACAATTCATTCTTTATCTTAATATCTTTATATTTGTTTGGGGTTGCCTTTCTTCCCTTTCATCTTTTTTATTGTGCAGCAATCTTTCTCCTCAAACCTACCACCTCTCTCTTTTCTTTCCTTCTTACTTTCTCTTCCTCCCCCTCTTCTCCTCCTCTCTACTTCCTCTTCCTTTCTCCTTCTCCTCCTCTCTTCCTCCCTCTCTTACCCTCACTCCTACTCTAATTTCCCTTCCCTTCCTTCATCCCTCTCTATTGCTGTATCTTTTTATGCATATGGACTACTCAGTGGGCTGAAAAAGTTATTTCTGACTGGTCATCGCACTTTTGACCAGTCCTCGAACTTACGACTGTCCTCACATTTTACCTTTTTGCCCTATCTTGTCACTATGGTGAAGAGAAGCAGTTGTGAAATGAGTGACATGGTTGTTAAGAATGCTACAATGGGCATAAACGATGACCAGTCATAAGTGCGAAGACCGGTCAAAAGTGCGAGGACCTGTCAGAAATGACTTTTTTCAGCCCTCTGGGTAGTCCTTTTGTGCACATGGACTACTCAGAGGGCTGAAAAAGTTATTTTTGACTGGTCCTCGCACTTTTGACCAGATCTCGAATTTATGACTATCCTCACATTTTATGTTTTTTGCCTTATCTTATCACCATGGTGAAAAGAAGCAGTTGTGAAATGAGTGACATGGTTGTTAAGAATGCTGCACGGCCATAAATGTGAGGATGGTCATAAGTGTGAAGACCAGTCAAAAGTGCGAGGACCTGTCAGAAATGACTTTTTTCAGTTCTCTGAGTAGTCCCTATACACATAGCCATGGCCACCCGGTCACATGACCAGCTAACCACGCCCACCCAGTCACATGACCTCCAAGCCACACCCACAAAATAAGCCACACCCACAGAACCGGTAGTAAAAAAATTTAGAACCCACCCCTGGTTGGGGGTCACCACAACATGAGGAACTGTATTAAAGGTCGCGGCATTAGGAAGGTTGAGAACCACTGCACTAGGCAAACAGTCAAGCAGAAAGATCCCTAATCAAGGAATACCATAATCAAGGAACTACCAAAGAGAAAACCACATTCCCAACAACGTTTGCAGGACAAGTTATTGTATATAAATAGGAAGCAAACTCCATTCATTCGCACTGATAATGTTTGGTAATGAAACAATTGCAAATAAACCACTAAGTTGAGAGACCACCAAGGACTCCACTTATATTAGAAGCCTAAAATATAAAAAACATTTTTATGTTTTCTGGAGTTTTCTGGAATTTCTTTTATCTGTGCTACAGAGACTTGGTTTTAACAGCCAAAAATTATATTGATTCTGGTGGCTGAATCACATATCACTCACTTCTTAGAGGGAGCAATAGAAAACATTTCACTGGTTATCTTTATAGTCTAACAGCCCGCTTTTATAAGTTAAGCTTTACTAAAGCTCTCTAGGAACTATGGGTAAATATCTGATTTGATTTGGGCTTGAGGGCCATTTTCATGATCTAAATTGTAGGACATACTTGAGACTCTTATTGTAAATTTGATTCTCTTTTATCTTGTCTCACTTATCTGTAACTTGTAACACTTTGTGAAGTCAGTTGGAAATTCTACTAGAACAGAATAAGGATAATTGTGGACGCTTGACTGAGAGAAAAGAGAGTACACACACACACACACACACACACACACACACACACACACACACACTGTTCTATTGTATTTGGCAATTAGTATGTTTCAGATAATCAAAAGCCCAGTTTTAAGGATCCTTCAATTATTCAATGAAATTTGGTGAATATAGAATAGGTACGTTTGTATTCTCAGGAAAAAAAAAACTTGGGATGGGATATTTCTTAGGATCAGGGGTGAAATCTACTAGGTTCTGACAGGTTCTGGAGAACAGGTAGCGGAAATTTTGAGTAGTTCGGAGAACCAGCAAATACCACCTCTGGCTGGTCCCAGAGTGGGGTGGGAATGGAGATATCCTTCCCCCAGGAGTGGGGAGGGAATGGGGATTTTGCAGTATTCTTCCCCTACCATGCCCACCAAGCCACACCACACCCACCAAGCCATGCCCACAAAACCGGTAGTAAAAAAATTTGAATTTCACCACTGTTTAGGATGAATTTGTTATCAAACTATTATTAGCAGCAGATCTATGTCAAATATATATGTATATATGCTGGTGTGTAATAGTTCAATAGTACTCAGTTACTTTCTTTTGTTTTGCACAGCTGTCTGTATCTCCTGAGCCAAGACAGAATCATCTGTTTACTTACAACTTGTTCCTGAAGAAGACTCCGTCCAGTGCAAACATGCAATATATAACAGTTTCACAAAAAAAGAGATTTTTTACTGCACAAAGTTTAAGGATGAAAATGTTTAGCAGTAATGTTTGCTAATGGAAATGTTTGCCATTGTATCACTTTTTTAAACAAATTTTAAAAAGAAATGTCTTTGGGGGAAAGTGCGCTTCATCCATGTATTTTATTTTATAGATATGGGTATAGTTTGGTCATGATGTCACTAATGGATAAATCATTAAATGAACAAACTTAGAAGTATGCTTTCAGAGATGGCAAATGTGCTGTGGTCATTCTTGCTCTTTTGCTGACATTTTTAAAACTCTTTTAATTGCGCCCTGTATTAGAAACATGTGTTGTACTATTTGTGTGCCCAATTACTCTTCCTCTAAACTCTTTTGGACAGATATGATACCTAGAATACATAGTGTATGTTCCTGTCTTTTGGTTATTTTTGATTTTTTTTAATCCACTGCAACTCCACTAGTAAGACTTACCAACTACCGTATCCTGGCAGGGAGATGTACTAATTTGTATAACCGCCCATTGTTTACTCTCTTAAGTTTGTATTTTATTTCCCTTTTTTTCCAAGAATTTTTATATCTATCCTTATATCTTGATCTCTCCTCTTGCTGTAAAAAGGTGCGCGGTGATTCCTGAACCTGTTTATGTGACCTGAAGATCCTTCCATCATAATTTTTGTGTTGTTATGAGATTGACTAGCTGTACTGTACACCCTAAAATAGGCATAATACACTTAAGCCTGTACAAGAGAGGCTTGTATGTCCTTCTTGTGACATACTTGCGAAGAAAGAAATCTGGAAATGTTTGGTTTGCGTTGCTGAACTCTACTGTTGTATAGCATTAAAAGCAAATACCTATTTTGTTATTCTTGTTTTAATATAGTTGAGTAGCAGGCAAACTCAATGGCTGAAATCCATTTATGAGCATATGTGCACATTGAAATGAATTGCTTCTGTTAGCACTGCAGAGTTCACTTTTTGCTATGTTTTTTCTCAAGCAATCCTGGGTACCTGCTTTCCTCATTTCTATAAAACTATATTTCCTATGTTTCATATTGGAAACCTGGCTTTTAAAACTAGCGCTTATTAAAAAAGTATCTTAGGTTCTTTTTATTAAACTTCAGGGAACCATTTCATATTAGTCTGCTGATTTTGGTATAGAAAAGTCTGGCATCGAAGTCTGGCATCCCTTGTATTCAAATTGGTTTGTACTTTTACATCTTGCTGCTGCAGCTAGATACTTCAGCATTTACCTTACTTTAATATCCAGGTCATTTCAAAACTGAGAAATGGTTACGAAAATAGATTTTTCAGTATGGCCATTAATGTATGTGAAGTCATATGCTTAGTTTCTGTTATCATGAACAATCAAGTACTCCAACTTCCCCTTGTTTTAGAGTAACTTCTTTCTTTTGGTTTAAATTGTTTGCAATTTATGTTTCGGAGTTTCTGGTAAATTTTATAAAGCCTTTTAGTCCATACCTATTGGCTTACTAGTAGCAAAGACTCGCGTGGCTTCTGACTTGCCAGGACAAATGCTATCTGGATGCAGCCTAATCTATCCTCTACTATGTTTACAGTCTGCACAGGTTCTTCTCGGTTAATGGAGTAAAACCTATTGAGCACTCTTTTGTGTACTACCATTCATTTTTAGAACAATAGTTTAGTTAAATTTGCAGCTGTCTTTGTGTAAGACAAGGGTGAGAACCTGTGCTGCTCTAGACATTCCTGAGCTACAACTCTTGAGTGTCCCTTACTATCAGTCACATTGGAAATGATTGCAACATTGGAAGGATTCTTCAACCCTGCTTGAGTAGCTGTTTAGCTACTAAACAGTTGCGTCAGAGTTATGCAGACATGTTTCTACCACTGTCTGAGGGCTTGTAACATTAATAAATCTAAAGTTGACAAAACTAACAAATCTCTATTGACTTCTTTGTGTGTAACCCTGAAACCATCACAATCTGAGCCATTCTTGTGAGTTGTCTCTGATGCAAGTGCAGAAATCCTTTTGGTTACATGTGCATGTGAGTTGGCACTCAATTTCAAAGGGCCCTGGATGGAACCAATTATTTGGACCCCAAGTTCAATCAAAGTCCAGACTGGTGTATATAGTAAGATGGCATTTGTTGCATTTGAAGATGATCTCTTTGGACTTGGGACAGATGATGCAACTGACCTGACTCTCCTGGGTCTTAGCGGCTTTCAATACCATCAGTTGTGATACAGTAACTTTCTAAACCAGATTATGCTGCCCATCTTGTTATCCAAAGTTTTGGATGTTGGGAGTGAAAAACGCTGTTTTGCAGTGGTTTCCTTCCTTCCTTCCTTCATGATCAGTTCCAGTCAGTGGTGGTGATGGGGAGAAGTCATGCCCTATGCCCTGCACTGATGGATGCTCAGGGCTCCGGTCTCACATTTCTCTTTAACATTTACATTAAACTGCTGAATGAGGTCACCCATACATGGGATGTAGTATTATCAGTATGCTGACGATACCCTATGACAGTACATATTTCCACCCTGGGCTGGCCAGGTGATGCTGTTGAAGTGCTAACCAAGTGCCTAGGGGGTGTGAGGTTTTGAATGTGGAAGAACTGACTTCAACTCAACCCTGATAAGATTGATTATTTGTATCCAACCTTTATTATTTTTACAAAATAGGGTGACTTTGGGTTTTTGGCCCCTCTGGTGATTTGCACAGATTTGTCTTGTATGTCAATTACACCCTTTTTTTGAATGGAGAGGCCTGGTTCACAATCATTTCTTGATCACTTTATTAAATTTATATGCCACCCATCTCACTGTTCAAGGAGACTGAGCACTTCTTGGAGTGCTGCAATGTACTCTATATGGGTCTGCCCTTGAAGGTCACCAGAAATCTACATCTGGCCCAGAATGCAGAACACAAATAGTGTAGGGAGGCCTTAGGTTGCTCATGTTACACCATTGCATGAGCTGCACTGGCTCCCATTAAAGCCGTGTATGCCCATCCTACCGGGTAGAGTAGGCTTCTCTGAAATGCTGCCATGTACAGTTGAGGGATCTAGAACTGTTTTCCATAGATGCTTCTCCCTTGTGGCAGGCAGGCTCCCACCCTTTTAGCCTTCTGGAAGGCCATCAAGACCTGGCTTTTTACCCAGGTATTATGGTCCAATGTTGGAAGCTTATGGATGGCTGTTGGGGAAACCACAGTATTGGGATCTGTGGTGGCGCAGTGGTTAGAATGCAGTATTGCAGACTAATTCTGCCCCCTGCCAGGAGTTCAATTCTGACTGTCTCAAGATTGTCTCAGCCTTCCACCCTTCCGATGTTGGTAAAATGAAGACCCAGATTGTTGAGGGCAATATGTTGGCATTTGTAAACTATTCAGAGTGCTGAAAAGCACTGGGGAGAGGTATATAAGTCCAAGTGCTAGGAGATGCTCAAGGCGACAGTTTTTCTAGTTTGCAATTTTATTATTGTGAGGAACCCAGATTTGTGCACTAAAATGGGCAGTTATATGAACCTTTTAAATAAGTATCCTCATCTCCCCAAGTAGCTTTTTTGTGCTAGCTCAGATGTAAAATAACCCATTCTTTTAGCACCCAAATAGGGAACTTATGGGATCCCTTTAACTGCAAAAATGGGGCTTAGATAAGGATTTCTGCATGTAGTCTAACCACTTACTATTCACAACTTGTACATAAAATGTGTGTGCAATTGATGGTTGGAATCTATATAAACTCATGTCAACCATTATCAAATAAGAATGTAACAAGTTATGTAATGCATAACTTGAAATCAAAAGTAAAAGTTCTACCATGAACATGTTTTGACATGTTAAAGAAAATCATTTGTCCTATGATGGTCAGTCAACTGCTGACAGTCATTGCACATGTTCTTGCTGCTAGTCTGTTGCTTAAAATAACATCCTACTCTTTTTAATTTTTTTTCTTGCTCCAATGCAAGCTCTTAGGTGAATTAAAATTATGACGTGCTAAAGAGGGGAACTTATGGCCAGTGTGCAAACTTGTGGTCTTCACAGCATCCCTGCAGTTATGTGATCAACTCCTGGTGGCTCAGCTCCTATGCTGCAGGAAGCTGCAATCTCATAATAATTTGTGACCTTCCCTGCTGGCTTCCACAAGCAAAGTCAATGGGAAAATCCACCGGGATTGTGAAGCTGTATTATCCCTGCCCATGGCATTTCCCTACACTCCTTGCCTGTGATTCCCAGCTCTTCCCACATAACAAGCTGCATGGTCCTGGGTTACAATGGCTGCCAGGATTGCTATTGCCAAGCAATGCAGTCATGTAACATTCAACTTTGGCTGCTTTAGTGATGGAAATTCCAGGCTTATTTGTGCTGTAACCCCAGGACTACCCATTTCACAAAAGAAACACAACTTTCAAATTAGGTGGGACCTGTTTCCTTTTCTGAAGCTAGAAGTTGACTAGAGGCCTTTATGTCCCGAAAAAGTGGAAAAATACAATGCTTAGGGCATTGCTGTTTGATGCTCAAGAATTATTTCTGCCAATGTTTTCAGGTAAGTTTGGAAACCACTCTGGGATGTATTCTGAAGATGAAAACGCCTGATCGTGCAGCATGCCTAAATCAATTAGAAATCGTAGCTCTCTTCAAACAGTCTCCAGTCCAAATTTCACAAATCTAAATATCAATTAGTCGCTAAATGCTATAGGGAAAAGGGCACTCCAGTCTGATCACCAGCGACTGAGTGAAAAGACTGGACATGCGCAGTTAGAGTGGGCGGGACCAAGCTGTGGAGGAAATTTTGAGTGGCACCCAGTCGGTCTAATGACAGTGAAGAACATCCCATTGAGTGGAGTGTCGGAGCAGCGAGGAGGAAAATGAACATCTTTACCTTCCAGGAAAGCTTGTAAGACCTAATCCTTATTTCAAGCCAAATCTCCTTTTGAGATGCCTAATCAACCGTTGGCAGCCAATCTACATGTTTCTGCCACTGGTATATTGCTTGTGCAATTTAGATACCTGATTGTTGTATCTTTAAGCTTAAGAACTGTAGATGACAACAAATTAGATCTGAATATTTATTAAGGGACTTTTTAAAAATATTTTAGCCGCTACATGGCTACACTACATCACAGTGTAGCGGGCCCATTTTTAGATTAATTTTCTATGTACAAAGAAGCATTATGTACAATCTGTATACGTTCTTTTTATCTAATCCTTTTTACATAAAAGATAGAAAACATTTTGCAAAAGGGCCTGCTATGATTTAGATGTAACTGCAAATCTCCTATGTATATAAATACATTTCAACTGCTAAAGTATGCATTAAGCAAATAAAACTGGATTGACTTGGCATTAGTTGTAGAATCCAGCTCCATCATGACTCAAGTTGGGTCCAGGGTAAAGAACCAATACTAATTCATTTGAGTCCTAATAATATTTGAGGGGCTGCCACAGAGGAAGGGGGTCAAGCTATTTTTCAAAGCGCTTGAAGGTCCGACAAGGAATAATGGATATTCTGAACAAGGAGAGATTCAACCTGGAAATAAGAAATTTTCTGACAGAGCAATTAACCAATGGAATGGCTTGACTTCAGAAGTTGTGGGAGCTTAATCACTTTCATGAAGAGACTGGACTGCCATCTGTCAGAAATGGTGAAGGGTCTGCTTGGGCAGGGGGTTGGACTAGATGACCTAAAGGTCTCTTCCAATGCTGTTAATCTGTATCTAATTAGAAGAACGGGTTTTCAACAAAAGACTGCATTTGATGCTTGCTGAAGATTAAACATAAGGCAAAATCTTAATGCTCTACTGATGTTTGGAGGATTCCTTTTGTACAGTGAAGTGGAAAGGAGGAAAAGGCAAAATAAGACTGATACAGGATAGTGAGCAATAGCCAGTGTTGCATCCTGATAATCACTACTCTTACGAATGCATCAACCATATTCTAACATTACAGTAGTTGCTTTGTCAATAGTCTAGTTTTTATTCTAAATGGCAGTCTTTGAGGCCTTCAAATAGTCCTTCAATCTAAGACTAATCAGAAACCCTTCCTGGCATTTCTACAGCTGGTTATTAGTATCGCACAATGAATGTCTGACTCTACATCTCTTAAAATGGTACTACTGGGCGTTCAGCTTCAGAGAAGCTCCCTTTCATTCCTAAATGCAATGCTACATAATGCAGCAACTACATCAGGTGACCGAATCTCATTGCACTTCAAGTCAAGTAGTGGATTGGTTCCAACACCACAAAAAATGGGAGATGGAAATGAAAGGTGATATTGGTGCAAGTTACTGTTATGCAATAATGAGATCCTCAATGGAGGGTTAGCCCCAATAGATTATTTTAAGGTGTCCAACCTACTACGGTAGGTAATCTCCATGCCAAGAATTTGCCATCAGAAAATGGCCATACAATAAGCGGCTTCTACTGCAATTCAGATGAAGATTAGCCAATGTGTATTCTATAGTTCTATTTAAAAAAGTACCTACCATCTTTCTATAAAACTTACCTACAAATATTAGTGTTCTCAAAGGTAGGCTTTTTTCCCCCTGCCACCTTGTTAAAGAAAAACAAAAGTTAGATTCTATGAATATGTAAGCAAGTATGGATGTTTTGCTTCCAAGCATTGGAAGCAATGAGGAATAGGTGGATAGATACACACATAAAAGTCTATCTGGTAGTAGATAGAATGGCAACGTTTTCTCTGTTCTTCCCACCATTTTTAAAAAAAACTTATCTATGTCTGTTGTGTTGTTTGGTCAATAAGTGGTTTATTGTATCATTTTCAAACTTAACTGGACTCCTCAGGGATGTAATGTTAGAACATGGCTTCAATAAGAAGTGACCAGGTGCTGCTTCTATGACCATGGAACAGTACAGGCTTACAGGCTTGTGGTTCGAATGTCAACATTTTGGCAATACAGAGCTGTTCCCAAATGGTGC